ACATTTTAGGGGTACACATTTTAGACCATAAGAGCATGAAACACCCTATTGTTTTCAAAGTGGGTTGTTTCCAGCAACTGTCTGGCTAGAACCTAAAGGAAACTGCAGTAAGTTTTTTGAAATCAGAAAGCGTTCACCATTCTCTGTGTGGTGGGAGGGTATAAGGCACTACCTGGGACAGTCCGGGGAGGGGACACAATCTCTCAGTATCCTTGAGGGCATAGTTAGGGTTTTTCTGGCCTAAGGGGATAGACACTAGGAGGGAGAACAGATAAGAAAAAATATACGTATTCAAGGCCTCCTCTAGGACCAAGTGTCCAGCTCCCTTTAGGAGTTCCAAAATAAAGCCCAAGTGTGGACTGGAATACTCTGCAAATTTTTGGTAAAAATCTAGATTTCTAGGTTTTCTTAGAGGATCTGACAACAGAGCTGACGTTCCTGAGCAGAAAGTTTCTTGCTAATCTCCTCAGCCTTTATTAACATAGCTTTCGTTGCCTTCAAAGAAGATAGCGCACAGGGGCATCAGCCGAAGGAAGTGGAGCCAGTGACTTCCGTATGACCCCGTGCTGCAGAAGCCTTGCAGACAGCGCGGTGACCCCCAACTGCCCCCTTGGCTGGGTAGACGGTGGGTTCAGGGATCCCACCAACCTATAAACTGCACCCCGATTCAAAAGCTGTGCACCGCAGGGAAGAAAGGGGGCCATGCTGCCACCACTGACTGGCTTGGCGCTATACGTAGGCTCTTTTTTCTCTTCCTCCTATGTTTCTCTTGCTTTCTTCTTAGTTCCACTGTTTGCGGGAGGGGGCTCCTGGATCTGGGCCTAAGGACCGTAGAAGATGCAGTGGAATCTTCTAATAACTCTGAGAGAATTCCTAGTCCGATGACTTTAAACCTCATACTATGATGTTCCTGGGGGTCCTTCAAGGTAACTATGAGTCTATAAACAAATTCACCTTTTGCTTAAATTTCCAGTCAGTTTATCTTACCTGCCCACATGCATCCTGGTACCTTTTATAGTCTGCACACTTCAAGTTCACTGATCAGAAGAATCTCGGGGGTGGAGTGGCGGAGCTATCACAGGTCCAGGCAAGCTGATACCCAAGCTTCTGGAATGATCTAGGGCCTATCTCAGGGAACTCCCAAGATTTGTCCTGAAACTCCCCTTGGTGACAGCACTGCTGCTTGACTAAGGAGTTAGACTTTTTCTTGAAGGGGAACAATTTCCTCCAGCTCCGAGTTAAGCCCTTTCCGTTTGCTCTTGACGAGTGGGAAATACCATGTTCAACTTTAATGGATTTCCCAGCCACCAGAATCCTATCAATAGGATATTCTTTTCCGTGAAGTAAGTTTAAAAATGTTTACTGGCAAGAAAAAAGAATTTTTCTCTTACAAAGAAAAACATAGTGCAAACATTAGCTTTAATTAGAATTTAATTATGGCCCAACCAGGAGGAGAGTTCATTCCAAAAATCATAGACTTGGCAGAGACTTTTGGAAATCATTAATGCATTTTCCTGCTCTTGGATTTTGGAAAGTATATTTGGTAAGTCACAGTATTGAGGGGTACACAAAAGAACCCCGGAAGTGGAGCAGGGAGGGGGAATTGCCAAAAAGAATCCAAAGTTCTCTCTAAGATTGATGGATGATCTCTCATGTGTCCAACCCCAGTGACGCTCTCTCTCTCTGTCCCCCATACATTAAAATAATACTTTAAATTTTCTTTATTGCAAAGTTAGTGAATGTCTCGCCAACACTAACAACTAAAATAAAACATATACAAAATGAAGGGAAAATTAATGGTCAAATGTGTTTGGTATATAACTATGGAGTCTAAGATTATACAAAAAAAATTTTTTTTTGAGACAGGGTCTCGCTATGCAGTTCAGGCTGACCTTGAGCTCACTTTGTAGCCCAGGCTGGCCTGGAACTCGCAACGGTCCTCCTGCCTCAGCCTCCTGAGTGCTGGGATTACAGGCGTGCGCCACCACACCCAGCTGATTATATAAAATTTAAGGTTCATCTTTTAAAGTTCAAACAATGTCATCAGAGTTTAACTGGGCCAGTGAGGAGGAGATGTGCTTTTTCTCCTTTTTAGAACATTATTCACCTTAGTTTTTTGGTGTTTAACTGTCCTTGCTCATCAGAGCAGACAGAATTCTTTCTCAAGTGCAGCATAAGGGTTCACCGTAAAACCCTCTTCTTAGCAAAGATCTAAGAAATCTGCAGATGCACAGGTGACGAGCGAGCAGACTGTTGGGAAGTGCTAAGAGCAGAGTCCCAGCACAGATCCATTCTGTACACATTAAAGTGAAAAAGGAAAAGAGCAAGGTGGCGACGTAGTGAACCCCGAGCCATTAGGAGCGCGGTCTCGCTTCTAGCTGCAGGCAGAAACTGAACAATGATTTCATCATTCATTTCCTTGGTCCCAGATTCCTGAGCTCAGGAGGGAAGAAGCCAGGGACTTCTCTGGCTTATGGGAGTGCTTATCCTAATTTCACAAACACTATTTTTTTCTGTTGGTTCCTATGTCCATGATACATAAAATTTGCATATTACCGAGGTTATTTGATATGCCTTACACCGTTCAAAGTAACATTCAATGTTAAGTCATTTCTCTCTAGAGCTTTCCACAGAACAGCTGGAAGCGATAGACTGACCTCATTTGTCCTACCTGATGGAATAGCAAATAAACGCCAATTGGAGAGGTACCGCTGCATCCCCTAGACCCAGCTCTGGAGTATGACTTAGTAAACGCTGCCCTTGGCCTCTGCTTTCACTGAAATGCTTATTTACTCCTTCAGAAAAGCTGTTGGACATTTCAGCCGTGTGCCGACATGTGCCTGTTTCTTTCTGTGTCAGTGTGGCCCCTTTTAGATTTGCTACTTGGGAGCACACTGCTGCCTCTGCACTGCGTCTGTTCGCAAAGCAGGGACTCTGTCCCGCTCTGCTTGGACGCAGCCCTCCAAGGCTCCTCGGCCACCCTCAGCATATTGAAACAGGGTGCAGCAAGACAGCCGCTGCGTTCCCTGAGGTCGAACTTAAAAGCAAAAAGGAACCTGTAGTCCCAGGAGAATGAGATACTGGGAGGGAATACAGGGACTTTTGGGGTGGGGGGGTCTTTTTGAGACAGGGTTTCATTATGTAGTTCAGGCTGGCCTCGAACTTGCAATGATCCTCCTGCCTCAGCCTCCTGAGTGCGGGATTACAGGCATGCACTATCTTGTCCAGCTGAACATGGACTTTTGGAAATTTTACTGTGCCTGGAAGGTGGAGGTTGGGACTCGGGCAACTTAACTTTTAGAATGCGATGAGTGAATTGTGCTGAGTAGCTGAATGGTACCTGTTGTTTTACTCTGATCAATATTTTTCACATGGCTAGAGAGTCCCAGTGGTTATTTTATAGAACCTTTCAATCATTTTGCATTATCAAGACTCAATTTTAATATCTTCATTCCAAATACATTCCTCAGTTCTAGGAAGATTTTCCAATTCATGATCTGCATTTGGTCTACATGTAAATTCCTATTTCAAAATCTCTGTTAAATAAAAATTATTCTCAAAGTCTATAGGTGATTGTGGAAAACATATAATCAGATGTATTTGAATCTCTTCATCCCATCTTGTATTAGTGGGAGTATTTCGTTCCCTAGGCATGAAGCTTACTGTTTTTTTCTTCATTATTAACTCACTCCCATTCTAAACAAGCTAGATCACAACTTCTCTTTTTCTCAGTAGAAATTTACAACCTCTTTATGATGGATACCTGTTTTATTATTCATTTTGGTCAGATATTTTATTGATTCAATAAACAGTTGTTGTACATTTTACTGCACTCCATGATAAGAAAATTTTATTCATTTCTCATTGGCTTTATTTTTTCCTTTTATAAGTATTTTTTGTTGAAGAAAAACTAAACTACCCCCAAGATGAAATGAAATATTTTCTCCCATTGTTTTATGTCTAAATGCTAATGTGATCCCACCCAGGAAAGCAAGTATAAGTTCTGAGTGAATCTTTTCCAATTTATCTCCTCTTGAGGTAGCAAACGGGAGGTTCCTGTCCTGCTGATGTAGCTGGACGCCATTTTGGAACTGCAGGGTTTGGGAAATTCTCCTGGCAGACAATAGTGCGGTCCTGACTAGCATTTACTCTTTAGTATTCGGGGTTCGCTTACGCTTAAGAATCACTATTAGTACGATGGAAATTCTTGGTGTTTGTGTAAGTTAGAGCTTTCACTTGCCAGCAGCAGAAGCCTCCCTTGGCTGAGGCAGCAGAAAGGATTTTGCTCAAAGGCTAACGGTGGAGCTTCTGTTTGAAGGTAGTGATTTTAAGACAGCCTTCCACTCCCGCATCAATGACCACAAATGACATTTCTCATGAGACATTAGGTTGGTTACGTAGCTCGGTGGTAGAGCTTGTGCCTAGCATGTGCAAGGCCTTGGGTGCAATCCAACGTGAGTGTATGCGCACACGCACATTGCACATGCACATGCACACATGTGCACGCACACACACACACACACACACATGCAAAGTCATGGACGCACAGCTAAAGAGAACAGGAGAGGTCACAATAATAACTACGTTAGGTTTGGAAGACAAAAAGGAAACAGAGAAAGAATAACTAACTTCACATTTGGAAAAAGTTGAATCCTAAATGGGAAAATCAAGAAAACTTCCTAAAAACTCAGAAATTGGTTGCCCTCAGTGCTTCCGTGCTGTGAAACAGAGAGGAAGTTGTAGACACAAGAAGCAGTTAGATCTTTCTCAAGTCCACACAGCCAGGAAAATAGACCCCTCCCACCCCAGAAGGAGACTGGAGATTTCCTCTCCGGAGGGAGCAAACCAGCAGCCATGAGAGATCCTACAGTTCTACGGCTTAAAGGAGTCACCAGATTTGTTCTTATGTAACAGAGCTTCTGTCAGGTTTTTGATGTCAGCTTCACTGAGAGAAAATTCCTATGTCATAACAGCACACTACTTTAATGTGTAAAATTCACTGGCTGTTAGCATAGTCACAGTTCTGCAACCGACATGATAAATTTTAGAACATTCATCGCACCCAAAGAACATTCCGTCCCCATTAGCAATCATTCTTCCCCACTCACCCTTCCCCATGCCCTAGGCAACGACGAATTATGCATCTGCTTTCTGTTCCTAAGACTTTGATTACTTTAGATACCTCGGGTAAGTAGAATCTTTTGGTGTTTGTCTTTTTGTGACTGGCTTATCTCACTTAGCACCATGTCCCCAAGGTTCATCCATGTTATAGTGTGAAACAAGATAGCCTTTCTTTAAAAGGCTGAATAATATTTCATTGTATGTATATACTACTGTGGTGTATGTGTGTGTATGTGTGTGTGAGTGTGTGTGTGGTGTGTGTGTGGTGTGTGTGTGGTGTGTATGTGTGTGTATGTTTGTGTGAGTGTGTGTGTGTGGTGTGTGAGCTGTGTGTGTATGTGTGTGCGTGTATGGTGTGTATGTGTGTGAGTGTATGTGTGTGTGAGTGTGTGTGTGTGTGTGTGTGTGGTGTGTGTGTTACTGAGGGCTGAACCCAGGACCTTGAGCTTGCTCGACAAGTGCTCTAGCACTGTACACACCACATTTTCAAATTTATTTATCCCCTGATGACGTTTGAGTCGCTTCTATCTCTTAGTTATTGCAAATGGTGCTACAATGATCATGCGTGTAGCTATTTCTTCTAGACTCTCTTTCCAGTTTCTTGGATATATACCCAGAAGTGAGCTGGTTGGCTCGTACGATAGTTCTGTTTCTTTGAGGGTTTTCCTTGCTATTCTCCACAGACACTACAGCACTTTATACCGTCACCAGCAGCACACAGAGTTCCCAGTCTCTCCACGGCCCCCCCAAAACATCATTATTACTAGTTTTGTTCGTTTGACTTGTGCATCCTAGTGGCTATGAGGTGACATCTTCTTCTGGTTTCACAGGGTGAGCTCTAGAAAACAGACCTGTCACGTGCTTGCTTAGAACTTCCTAGTGGTTTGCTTGCACTTAGAATGCCACCTCAGTACCTCATCTTGGCCACCAAATCTTTCCGGGCTCTGTCGTCTCCGGCCTTCATCATTTTTGTCTCCAGCAGCTCTTGTCAGTAGGGTGCAAGTCGCAGTGACGTTTTGACGCCTTGACCGCCCTGAGCGCGGTCCTCTCGTGCACCCCCACCTTGCTGTCCTTCTCTCTCGTTTCACGTAGCTGTTTTCTTCACCTCATTCAGATCTTAGCTCAGATTCCGCCACCTCAGAGCTGACGCTCAAGCTGTCCCCTTCCCCGACACCCTGTTCTGTTTCACGGTTGCTTTTTATAGCAGTTATCAGTGCCTGGAAGGCTCGTGCTGATTTAGTTGTTGGCTTGTTTGGTGCTTTTTATCTAAGTGGGCCGGACACTCCATGAGACGAGGAATCCTGAGCAGTGTGTTCACAGCTGTCTCAGGAGAGAGCCCGGCTGAGGTGAGTGCAGCAAAAGCAAAGGGGGCTGCTGGGGATTTAGCTCAGCGGCAAAGCGTCTGCCTGGCAAGCGCAAGGTCGTGAGTTCGGTTCCTGGTCCTGGAGAAAAACCAAAAAAAAAAACAAAAGCAAAGGGGAGGGAGCAATTAACACAGCGAGGGTGCTTGGGGACCGCTTCCTGGAGGATGTCACATGTCCGTTGAGTTTTGAAGGATGACTGTTACACGGTGGGCAGATACTGTAGAGGATGAGAGTGGCTATGTGGGGGCAGCGTGCAGCCCAGCAGGCCGAGGGAAAATCACCCGGGAGGACTGAAGCTAGAGGTTACAGAAAGAAAAGGTGAGCAGACCGCTGAACGGGCAGCGAGATGCCAGACCTGGTAGACCTTGACTTTATTGTAATTCTACCAATTGGCTGTTTAGTTTACAGTGTGCTAGGTTTCAGGATACAAAGACAAACGAGACACAGTTGTAGATCCTGCAGCAATGGGGAGCCAAGTATGACTTCTGAGCAAAGGAATGACACAAGTACCTTACAGGGTAAAACACAGCAGTGCTTCCAAGCACAGCCTCCAGGACCAGGAGGCTGGCAGTTTAATCCTGGCTCCACCACTAACTGGCTCTTTGGCCTTGGCAAGCTCTTAACCTCTCTGTGACTTGATTTTCTCCTCATAAGAATGATATTAAGGGGATGGGGATTTAGCTCAGCGGCACCGCGCCTACCTGGCAAGCACAAGGTCGTGAGTTCAATTCCCAGTACCACAAAAAAACAAAACAAAGAAAACAATGATAGTAAAAAGAATGAAGGGAAATATATATATTCACACACACAAGATAGCTGGGATAATTGTACTATTGATTTCTGCTGGTTTGTTGAAAGGATCAGTTAATGCTTGATTGTTTTATCGATCTTGTATACCTATGTCTGGTGATCTGAGTACCTACTTTGAAGAAAACATTATGTAATATAACAACTATTGTTAATTTCCTATCACCTTGTTTTGAAATTCTGTATCATTTTTATTGTATTTTGTTGTTTTGTTTTTGACTTTTTCTTTTGTTTCTCTTTAAAATAATTTTTTAAAAAAACAAGCATGATATTAGCTGTAGCTCTTTCTTGACTACTTGGGAGGATTAATTAATCCACATTTGCAGTAGAGAGTCTGGTCCTTGACATGTTAGCTATGGCTTTGTGATAAGTTTAAAACAATGTGTAGTATGTGCTATGTTACCATGATGATTAGTTTTTTAAGAAGGATGATTAGCAAGGTGTAGAAAATCACTGCAAAGGGAGACAATGTGCACAGGGCCTCTATCTAGGTCACTGCGTGAGCGGAGCCAAAGGGGAGTAAAGCATGGAAGGGGGTTAGCACGGAGATTTAAAAAAAAGGAAGAAAAAGAACACTGCGTCGGGTGTGGAGAGTGCAGAATGTTTTGGAAAGAAAATGGATTCAGTTTTTGGGTGTGTTGCGTGTAAGATGCCTGAGGAAGCTCCCTACTTGCTGATGCTCTTCTGAGATGACAGGGAGGTATCTGAGGGTTAGGACGCCAAGGTGCATAAACGGGTGTGCGCACTGGAAATCTGGGTGTGCACCTCAATGAAGACTGCCTATCGTTCCACTAGTCCTTTGGCAAAGAAACAGGTAACAGCGCTTTACACCTATATACTGTTCTGCATGGCCGGCAGGAACGTAAATTTGTGCCGTCTTCCTGGAAAACAGGTTTGCGGTATTTATCCTGAAACTTAGAGATGCTTACGCCCTTTGATCTGTGTTTTCACTTTTGGGGAATCAATCCTAAATAAATAATCCAAAACGCAGATACTAATATGTATAGATCTCTCAACACAAACTTTCAGTTGAAAATAAACTTCAAACAGATGTGTGCAATGATAGGAAAATTACCAACTAAAGTTTGTTCCCATGCTAGAATATTATAAAGCTATTAAAAATTACATTTCCTGGGCTGGGGGTGTCGCTAAGTGGTGCAGTGCTTGCCTAACATGCGCAAGGCCCTGGGTTGGAGCCCCAGGACTGAGGAAAATTCGTATTTTGAGAACTCTAATGTGAGCTGCTACGGAGGAGAAAAACCCAGTAAGGACGCACAATTAAATACTGACCGTGAGTTCGACTCTGCCAAAATAAACATGAAGCTTAGAAGGGAATTTTAGTAAAAACGTCCTCATGGATTATTTGTTTGGAAAATTGAGGCATGGGCTGTTAATGTATTGAAGTCTCTTGAATGAGGGACAGATAACAGAGTTTGGCTACGTAAAATTTCGATTCCTCTTCCCCTGCTAACATTGTTACCAATGTAATAATACTCTTTGGCTTATGGACCAAAATTCAAACTGTAATTTGTATTTCAAACCTTGACCATGATAGTTTTTTTTTTTTAATGGATGCAACCCATCAAAGGTCTAGAACCTCAAGCCTCCTGTTGAAGTTAATGTCAAATCATTGTTCAATTTTGACTGCGGCTCCAGACGACTGCCGACTCTTTCCTGTCCCTGCTGACAGACACGAGCATTCGTGTTCATTCAAAGGAACATGAGTGTTATCCAAAGCATTCCCTAGGTATGTCGAGGACAAAAGATGAGTGAAATGTGTCATCGCTAGGAGGGTAATTCACCCAGTCTCCACTTCAGCTGTACCCAGGCAGCTTGGAGCAAGCCGGACACCCTCAGGAGCACCCCTGATAGCGAGCTGATGTGTATGCGTAAGGCGGGTACCTAGCTTTCACCGAAACTGGATTACAGATCTCCTAGAGCTGGAGGCCTCCCAGTTTACACCTTCCTATCTTCAGGGTATTAATCCCGAATGACGCACTCATCGTTAGACTCCAAAAAGAACAATCTTTCCCTTCCACTTCCCTAGCCCCAATTACACACATCTGATATTCAGCCCAGTCCCAGTAAGAGAGCTGCCACTGGCCTTAACACAATAATGACTTTTAAAAAATTATTATAATAGAAGCAACATTTCTACCTACCATGTAAACATAGCATAAAAGCCACAGTTGTTCTCCAAATGTATAACTGATCTTATTTTCCAAAATCCCAATGAGGATAAAAGGCTTACGGAATGGTATTTGCCATGATTTGGGGCCATCCAGGGTGTTTTTGACAATAGCCTTGATCAAATTTGGGAACATTTTCTTGTTAGGTGTTCAAAGTACCTAATCTACATTAGGAGTCCAGAGAACTCCTTTCCCTGGCTCCCGAAGATTCTAACCACACGGAACTGTACGATCTGGGGGAACGAACAGCCAGATACACCTGATGGACTCTGGTCCCGTAGAGAGGGATGGGCCGAGGCAGGTGATGTGGCACCACGGCAGGCGGAGGCTTGAAGCACAGAAGACAGCGAGATGGGAAGCAGTGAGGTGTTTTCTGGAACAATTCTACAGTCCAATCTGGGCTTCGTCCCTAGGACAGCCTCTAAACCCAACTCCCTGGCCTTAGAGTGGGCATTGGAAATAAGCCCACTTATTTGGATAAAAGAACTACGCCACCAAATAAATCTTGTAGTAGTACTTTCAGTATCATTGGGAATATTTCCAGGTTGGATTTTTTTTAAAAATAGAAGTAAGCAATCTGTCTTTAGGCAGGATTTTTAGTCAATGGTTTAGTTCACACTCCTTCCATCATGTTTTGGGAAAACAGTTCATTTAACAGCTGGAGTTGTTCTTTTCATTTATTTTTTCAGGTTTAAAGATTTCTCCAAGAGCTTGATTTCTGGTACAAAAAAAAAAGACGTCTATGTACTACACCCAAATTTTAATTAGGAAATACTAAAGTACAATATTGAGCATATTCTTGTGATAGAATTCTATATGGTCAATAAAAATGGGAAAACTGCCAGTTTAAGAATGATGCCTCTCAACCCCGACCCCAGGCCTTGTACCGCTTGGCAAGCACTTTACCGCTGAGCTACACGCTCAACCCAAACACAAATTTCACCCAGAGGAGTCAGACACAAGAACTACACCTGTGTGAGTGCATTTACAGAAAGTTAAAATGACAGACAAAGTCAAACCCTAGTGTGACTCTGCAGGACACCAGTTAATTTTGGAAAGGCAGGAGCACAGTAGTTTTGGGATCTGATAACATGCTAATATGCTATTTCTTGACCTGGGTGGAGTATATATTAGTGTCTTCTTTCAGGAGGGGGCTGGGCACTGAACTCTGGGCCTTGTGGATGCTAAGCTTGTACTGTACCACCAAGCCACACCCCAACTCTGGTGTTTACTTTGTGAAAAGTATTACACTACTGATTTGTGTATTTTCTACTTCAATCAAAAGTTAATTTTGATTTATATGCCACTTTTTAAACTCCACGTTTCTGTTTCTGTTTCTTTACTTAATTTTTGGAGACAGAATCTTGCTATGTTGTTCAGGGTAGCCTTGAACTCACTATATAGCCCAGGCTGGCCTTCAACTTATGGTGCTCCTCCTGCCTCAGCTTCCTGAGTGCTGGGATTATAGGTGTGCACCACCAGGTCTGGCTAAACCCCACTTCTCTTAGCAATATTCAATCTGGCACATGACTAATAAAAGTTTTATAAAACTATTCTGTATTTTGCTTGACCTCAAGAGTTAACTTTTGTGTTTGAAGAAAAAATATTAATATTTGGGGGATTTTAAACTGAGTAATTACCTAAGGGTCATATTTCAATTTATTCAAATAAAAGAAAGGATCAGATCAGTTTTATTATGCCAGCGAGTCCTTCTCAAAGGAAAGATTTCAACCTGGTGTGTGTTTAGGACTATGCTCTTCGACAGCCTTTCCTTTGTTACCCTTGAGTCCATGACTCAAGAAACCACTGCTCCTCAGACAATGTCTGCACACAATGCCTCACTTGCAGAGGAGGGAACAAAAATGAAAGTGAGATAAACAACATTAAAAAAACATTTAAATTCCCATTATTTAATGCACCCCAGCCCTCTGGGGGAGAACTACTGATAAGGAAGGAAAGGAATAAACTTCCCACAGAGAATCACAACACATCATACGCAGACCAAGGTGGCCAGAACTATCTTATTTATTACAAAGATACACCGTGAAGAACGAACCCGACCGTATACTGAAGCCTGTAATGGTACATGCCAAAATGTACAGTACTATACAGAAAAGTGCATTGTCACAACAGAATAACAAAACATGTTTTTCTTCCAGAACTGGAAAAGCAGCCCCTGTTGTTGTCACCTCAGAAGGGAGGGAACGTAACCGCAAGGGGCAGAGGACGGCGTGGGTGAGGCTGACGTCAGGCAGCCGTGTGTGAGCGAGGCGTGGAGGGGCGGGACGGGAGGACTCGGGGAGTCACTGCCAGGGGAGGAAGGCACAACCACGTCTATGAGGACAAGGAGACAGTCTGATGGTCGCCGGGGACACGAGGCAGACGTGACTGAGCATGGAGACACGGAACGTGGGATGGAGAGGATGCAGGCGGAGTGGAGGAGGAAGTGTCACAACACCCAGGTGGGCAGCAAGGACGGGAGGAGGAAGGCGGGGCACAGCGTGGGGCAACAGTACGAGAGCAGGGCTAAACTCCTCTACAATAGAAAGGCACTTTCACATGTACATACTACGGATGTACATAGACACAATTAGGTAACAGTCACAAGCAGGAAGCTACCAGTACTGCAAATAATCAAACCGACAGGAAAGGACAATACTGATTTAATTACGTGGGCAGGAGTTACCTTAAGTACGCAGGTAAAAGTCTTTCCTGTTACACAGCCACTTACTATACTTTAAATATCTATAATAACCATCACACTACACATGGAACTTGCATGAATGCGCTAACGGGGGCATTCACAAATGCACAGTTTATATATTTTTCTTTTACTAAACAGTTTCTAAGATAAGCATTATGGAACCCAGTACAATTATTTAAACATACAAAATTCCCTACGTAATTTAAAGATACAGGTATCCATGTGGATTATACCATGTAGACTATTTTTTTTTTTTTTAAAGAAAGTATACTAGGGTAACTGAGAGCTTACGTTCCAGCTAATTCACCCATCTGTTTCCAGGTCACCCTGAACAAAGCCTGGTGCTCCAGCCCAGCTGGAGGCTGCGTGCTCAGCTCAGGGCTGGCCCGGGCAGGGCGCTGTACACGGACACAGCCTTCGCTTCGAAGCTGCCCTGTGTCTCAGGGCATCTGCGGTGATCACTCAAAGCAAGACCGAGGCCCACGGCATTCGTGGCCCCTAACAGCTGTGGTCAGGAGAAAATGGGTACTGACCCACCCTCGAAGTCTTCTAACCCGCTTTCCAGACCCAGGGACAGTTTAATTTTGAATTTCAGAGGCGTAATTGACAGATTATAGTTTCTTATTTCTAAGTGCTAAGGACACTACCACCAACTCATCCCCTTTTAAATTTTAAATAAACTGTAAACTCATTTTGGGAATGGCAAAAGTACAATGACAGGAAACTACTGAAGGACATAATTTGATCCTTGGAGCTTTATACCACTGATATCACCAGGATGGTAGATTAAATGGGAAGCTGTCGTAGCTTATTCGACAGATGGTCAAGAGGCACCAACTCAGGTTATCTTGTGTGAAGACAAATAAAACTTTGAACAGTGGTGCTGACATTGAACGTGCCCACGAATGTGGAGCTCTGCAAAGCCCGCTTAACGACTGAAATAGTTTCCGTGACATTCATCAGAAAATGTAAACTAAGTACTTTTCTCTTCTATCCTAACACCCACTCTCCAAACCCCCAACCCTAGCCAGAAGGCTGCTTGACAAATCTACTTCAGTGAGTTCTTTGGGACATGAACATACAGTTATGTCAGCTGTGAATAGATAGTCTTGCGTAGGTGGAGTCAGATAATCTTTGTAGAACCATAATTTACCCATCTTCGAAATGACATTCTCCTTAAACTGCACATGAAAACTTAAGATCCCTGAAATGAGGACGTAACATTCTGGGGCTCCTTCTTTTCTCTTTCTTCTGCTTGCCCTCCACGTGCTGCCCCTGAGGCCCTAAAGCAGGCTGCGTCCCAGGCGAACCTTCTCAGCTGCTGCAGTTTCTCAGGATATCATCTTGGATCCTTTGTGAAGAGGATACTTGGTCTTAGCACTGCAATCTGAATATTTTTACTAAATAAAGTGAGGATAGGTAAGTCCTTACTGAGTCCTTAATCAGAGGTCCTACCTTTCACTTGGAGTTGAGGGCAGAAAATTCTGGAGGAGACACAGGAGTACAGAGAGAACAACGGACAGTAGGGTAAGGGACTGAGGGGAGAATTAATAGTCAGCAGCTGTTTCCTGAAAGAAAGCACAGCCTCTGAGGGTCGACAGCAGCATGTCCTCCGTCATCCAAGGCAGCAGGGTCCTGATTTAGGGGCTAGAAAGGCAATCAGTGATACGGGATAGGTGGGAACACCAGGGACGAGGACACCCTGGGAGGATTACCAGGCAGCTATCTGAAGAACAACCTGCAGGAGTAATATCTGAAGAGCGAACGTGAAAGCCTGTAAAAAGCATTTAAAAATAGATTCCAAACACCTCTGCCTTTCCCCTGGCCTCTGTTAACATCTTACTTTTCCATCAAAGAAGCAAAAAGGTTTTAAGAACTCATTATTTTAAAGAACCGGGGGATTAGGAAAATTCAATCTTCTAGAGAATTTGGGGAGCACAATTTAGAAGGGTTACTGCTAACTCCAAGCTCAGTCCTGCTGGGTCTCCATGGTGTCCGAAGGTCAAATGACCACTAAGCTCCAAAGAAATGCTCTGGGGTGGAGCAGATGCTGGGCTGGACCTCTTTTTAAAAATGGCCAAAAGAGTAGTTCTGAAAACTAATAAGTTTAACATTCTCCCACGTCTGGAGATCCACAGGCAGGCTGGCGAGGGACGGGAAGAACAACACTACTTGTTCAGTCCACTGATGGAATCAGGCCACAGGCAAGCGCGACTCTGAAAGGTCACAGTTCATTCATTCGATCTCATCCTGTTGCAGAATGACTAGACTGGGAAACTGAGGTAAAGATAAAAGTAATGATTTTGATTTTAGTACAGATCTGAATCTACCTCTGCGTGATGCATTTACCAAGGGGCTGATGAACCAAAGTCTATACTGTGCAGTCCTTAGCTGGGCCTGTAATTGGCTGCAGGTTTGAAAACAGTGGTCCAAAGGAGTTTGCTTGGAGCAATCCGTATTTCTTCATCTGGAAGTTCAACGATAGCATAGATAAAAAGTTTATAGGTCTATAGATGCTATTGACTGCTGCTGTCAGGACAATGGTTATTTGTACCTTACTAAAAGCAAAGGCATCCAAAACAATTTTTAGGAATATAGCTCAGTGGTGGATTGTGTGCTTAGAATCCCAGCACCATCCAGTCCCTACAAATAAAACCAAAAAAACTAAGATAGCAGAGAAACATAGTAAAAATATGAGCTAAATAAAAATTGAGTATGGGCATGGATCAGAGAAAGAGGCTCTTTAATTGGGCTGGGTTGACTATTAAGCTGTGTAGAGACCACATGCCAAAGAGTGCAAACATAAAAGGAAAAGTGATGGTTCCAAGGTACAACACTTGAAGGACCCATGTGGTGATCTTCCTGTGATGCTCCATTATGGCTTTTACTCAAGTACCACAGCCCGTAGAGGGGTGGCACCAAAGGAGAAATGGAGAGAACTAGGACTTGAAATTTAGGATGACTTTTTGTGGTATATTTAATGGAGCCATGGTAATTTAGTGAGAGACTCCTGACTGGACCTAGGATTCATGTCCTAGGATTCATGCTTCCCACAGAGGAAAACAGGGATTTCTGGGAGATGGAAAGTATTTTCTAGGCAGTCAGAAAAACAGATCTTTATAGAAGTTTGTGGTGTAACCAGAAAGTCTTTTTTTTTTTTTTTGTATCAGGAATCGAACTCAGGATTCGCGCTTGCGCTTGCTGGGCAGGTGCTGTGCCGCCGAGCTATCTCCCCAACCTCAGAAAGTCTTCAGACTGTCCTAGTCCTTTGTAAATGCAGGGGGTGGACTTGGAGTCCTCCAGGGCCTGATTACGGTTATACATGGAGTGGCAGCAGTAGCTTTGGAGGTGATGTCTCTCTCTTCTTTCTTAGTTCAATTTAATCAGCACTGGAGCTCTAACCTGTGTTAGACCGCTATGGAAGAGGCAATCACTTAGTCCATTCAGTTCATGGGAGGAGGGTCCCACTGTGAAAAATGCAAGTCCTTAGCACAAGCTGGACTCCCACACTGGATGGGATCGGTGGTGCCTACACTCAGTTACCAATAGTGCCCTGATCGCCTTTTGATGACCCCAAGTCCCACTCCAACACCGGTTACGCTCTAGTAAGACACGGAGATCACTTCCTCCCGCTTTCCAGCCAAGAGCTTTCTGACTCTTCTGGGCTACACTAAAGCTGAAGCACTGTGCAATACGGGGAGCAGTGTTGCCTTCATTACAAGTGGTGCAGCATTGGATTTTCAAGTAAGTCTAAGTGATTCTGTTGTCTTTAAAACGACATCTGTCCAGTTACTTAGAAAAATTACAAAATACAAATGCCCGTGTTAAATTAGCTAGTCTTAGACATTACATTCGACAACATAGAAAAGCCAAAAGATCTCCAGTTATAAGCACAAAACTAAGGAAAGTTTGGATCACTGACTTCTGTCATGAATCCATTTTCTTTTTAAAATCACTTCCCCTTATGACCTTGCTCAGCTGGTATTTACATGGTGCAAGACTTGTCTGCTGGGCCCTGGGAAGGCGGGGCAGGTCCTACAGTAGGGTTTGTTTTTGGAAGAACAGCAGGTTTCGGCCTAAGGGCTGGGGGCTTCAGCTGCACGCCCATCCTGGGCGCCACCATAGGCTTGAAAGTGCTCATCGTGTCACTGGAGGAGCTAGTGCTGCGTCGGATCTGAGGCTCTGAGCTCCTGAGGGCAACGCTGTGCAGAGGGCTGAGAGACTCTGTGGAGGCGGCAGGGGTGGGAGAGTTTTTCACTTGTTCCAAGGTATCCAGCACCACATCAGGTGCATGCTTTGCTGTGCTCTGTCTCTCCAGTTCTCGGAGTTCATTCAGAGCAGTGTTCATCGTCTCTTCAATATCCTATCGAAAAGGAACCAGAAAGAACAGAGTGATAATTACTACTAATATACAGAAATCCGCATATTTAATTTACAAGAAAACAGGCCAGTAAAGAGTATGACTTCACAGACTGTAGAGTGTATAAACATCAGGCTGTCTCATGTGATTAATTTGACTAACTGTTCTGGAGACCAAGATACAATGGCTCGTGGAACCTTAAACATTTCTCCTCTTCAGATGCTAGACAGCCTTCTGACGGTCTTGACCTTGCATACCGACTCGGTGACGTAGAATTCTATTTCAACTTATTTTAAATTACATACTGCAACAATTTCCCAAGAAATGAATTGCAATAGGAAGGAAGACATTTACTTTTACTTTGCATTTATCTTAAAATTTTTTTTTTTGAAGGGGAAAAAACAATAAAAATAACGATACAGAATTTCAAAACAAAATAGGAGATTAACAATGGTTAATACACTGGGTACTGTAATCTTCAACGTAGTTGCTCAGATTACAAGGTATAGGCATGAAAAGTTGATCTAAATTTAGCTGTTGATTTGTTTCTGCTTTTCCAGTTTCTTAAGTTGCATTGATAGGTTTGTGTATTTGAAATTTTTTTTAATGTAGGCATTTATTGCTGTAAACTTCTCTTTTAGCACGGTTTTGCCATATCCCACAGGTTTTGGTGTGCTAGGCTCCTATTTTCATTTGTTTCAAGATGTTTTTGAATTTCCCTAATAATTTCTTCATTGATCCATTGGTCATCCAGGAGAATGTTGTTTAATTTCAAATTCTGTGTGGGTATAATTTCCACCTTCCCTCATGTTTATTTCTAATTTTATTCATGTGCCCAGAGAAGGAATAATATATGATTAAATTTTTAAAATTTGTTGAGACTTGTTTTGTGTCCTAACACATGATCTGTCCTGGAGAATGTTCCATGTGCTGATAAGAAAAATGTGTATTTCTGTAGCTGTTGGATGAAATGTTTTGTAAACACATTAGGTCTATTTAGTATCAGTTTAAATCTGATTTTTTTGGTTGATGTTATGTTTGGCTATCTGTCCACTGATGAAAGTAGGAGTATGAAGTCCTAAAATATTATTGTATTGGGGACTATGTCTTCTTATAGCTCTAGTACTATTTACTTTATATATTTGGGTGGTCTGGTATTGGGGGATGTATATTTTTATGATTGTTATATCCTCTTGGCTAGTTGATGCTTTCATTATTACATAATGATCTCTGTCTCTCTCTCTCTAGTTTTTGACATGAAGTCTGTTTTTATCTGATATAAGTATAGCTACTCCTACTTTATATTGTCTTTGTTTGCATAGAATATGCATTTCTATCCTCTCACTTTCAGTCTGTATAGCTTTACTGGTGAGGTTGGTTTCTTGTAGGCAGTATATATTTGGGTCTTTTTATTTTCTGTTTGATTTATATATCCTTTGTTCTTCCTCTCTTATTGTTAATCTTTGTGGATTGGTGGTATTCTACAGTAAGAAAGATCAATTCTTTCTTTTCTCATTTGTGTAAATATACTAGCAATGAATTTTACACTTTCTCATGTTTTTACAATCGTAGATATCGCCCTTTCACTTCTGGATGTAGGACTCCCTTAAATGTTTCCTGTAAGGCTGGTCTTGTGATAATTTCTTGTTTTTGCTTATCTGAGAAAGAATTTTATTTTTATTTTTGAAGTTTGTCCATAAGCGCTTTTTTTCTTTCAACATTTTAAATATTTTCTCCTAACTTGCAAGGTTTCTGCTAAGAAATCTGCTGTTAGTCTAATAAAGATTCCTTTATATGTGACTTAATGTCAGCCCCTTGCTGTTTTAGAATTCTCTTTGACTTTTGACCACCTGATTATAATGTGCCTTGGAGAGGACCCCTTTGGAAAGGCAGAACACAGGAACTGGATATTCAAACAATTGCTAAAAAGTATTGTCAAGAAACACACTTGAGATGGGTCAAGTCCTGCCTATGGTCCTCCTCTGTGTCCAGTGTAGTCCCACCAAAAAAACTAGGTATTCCTCTTACAAAACCCTTTTTGGTTGGTCACCTTCAATCATAGATAAAATTAGTGATGATCTTGGTAAAATTAAAAAAACAAACAACAAACTGACCCTAAGGAGACAAATACAGGTTTTGGAAATAGCCAATCCAAGATATCCATGGTTAGGTATAAAAAATTCCTGTAAGCGTGACAGACCCAGTACACCCATTCAAACCTGGGGACTTTGTTTGGATCAAAAAATAAAATCCAACCACTCTGAGGATGGGCCTCATACTGTAATACTGACTACCCCTACTGCTGTTAAAGTTACAAAAACTGTGCCTTAGATTCAGTACAGTAGGGAAAAGCCAATGACTCCAGACAGGTGGACCGGCCAGCGGGATCCAGACCACCCTGCGACCAGCTGATCTTGTGACCGAGGTTGGGCCACCACCAGAAACAACAGCCCTGTTCTAGTCACCCCGGAAGCTGACTAGTCTATGCACAGCCAAAGCTTTAGAAATAATAGCCCTGCGCTGGTCACTCTGGAAGCTGATCAGTCTACACACAGCCAGACTCTGAGGATCCACGTAGGGATACAATGGCAACATAAGTCCCTTTTCCTTTTTGTTACAGTTCTTCCTCTACCAATAGGGAGCCAACCTCCCGTAATGAGGTAAGTGACGGTCTCTATTAAAACTCATTTATAAAAAGCATTGAAGGGGGTAATGAAGCTGCAACTTTTATCCCTGTAGATGAAATTTTATAACCTCCTGTTCCCATAACATCCTATTATGTTTGAACATGGCCACCAAGATACAAACCCATCACAGCTTGACCAGCTGCCTTTGTTCTCATTCTGCCCACCCAGAAGTTCCATGCCAAAGACCGAATGTATAAAAGCTGGAATATGTCCTCTGCTCAGCCATGTTGTTGTTAACGGCTGAGCTGATGTACATCTGAAAATAAAGTCCTCTAGCTTCCCATCTGGTCTCTCTTGTCTCTTACATTCCGTGTAACACTCTGTGGCAAACATCAACTCTGGGGGAACTCTTCGAGCTGTGAGGGGCTGAGGACTGTTGGGAATCTTCAGCTCACCTTTTTCCTATAAAGAGAAGACGTTCTAGGCTCTGAATTGATCTGGGTAGGGGATAGTATGGAAGAGGCAGGATGCCTTGCTCTCCTCTCTTTGGCGTTGTCCTGACTTCTCACGTTCTACAGGGATCACATCACTTCTTTCCTGCTCTCTATGTACACCAACTGGATCTAAGTTGTTTCATTCCTCTTTATTGTGGCCCCTTTTTAAGGTGGAGACAAGTGACAGACAACTCTATTTTACTGACATGCTCATACAACTTCTAATTCCTTTTTGTTGTGAAAACTGTCAGAATCCAAATGGAATCACTTTTGTTAAGCTCTAACCAAAACAATAAGTGAAGCTAGAACTCTAAAGGAGGGGTTCTTATTCATGTATGCCTGATAACAAGAACTGTTCACGAAAGACTCTGCCAGAACCACAACCTTGCACAAAGGCCACTGTAATCTTGCACAGGAAATACTTTTGCAAGGACATCTGTCCAGCAACTGTCAGTTCAACCTTGGACTGGTGCCACCTCTCTTGTGAGTCCTTGTAGTCAAGGCTAACTACTTCAAAACAGCATAATCTAGTTCATTTCACCTTTAAAAATGTCCCTTTGCGTCAGCCTCTTTGAATGTGCCCATAGTTTACCATAGCACACACATTCCCATTGCCATGTTCTGCTATTCCCAAATCAGTATTATTCTCTGGAGAATGTGTGATTGTTATTTATTTACAATATAAAAACACAAAATATTTTTCATAATATTAAATTTTCCAGGGGTATAGCTGTCATATATATTATTCTTTGATTTGAACTGTATGGCCATGGCCAAGAGTTGTCTATCCTTTTGGAGAAAAATCACATCATTAATAGGAACACCTTTTATGGAATATAAGTTAACTGAATTAACTCAACACTCTCATAACCATGTATATTTTTATTTGTTTGTTTTTCATGGTACCCAGGGCTTTTGCACAGAGCTATATCCCCAGCCTATTTCTTTTTAATTTCTTAGAGACAGGGGTTTTGCTAAGTCATTAACTTGTAGTCCTCCTATGTCAGCCTCTCCGAGTACCAGGATTACAGGTATGCGTCACCATGCCCAGCTCAATGTGCATTTTTAATTGTTGCATTTATAGAAAGTCTATGTGTAGGTGGAAAGACTGTACTACTTGTCTTCTAGTGTAATAAATAATTAATGTACATAGGAGTAAATTCTAGTACTCCTAGCCATGGTAGGGTGACTACAGTACACAAAAATTTATTATATTTATAAAGAACTAGAAGAGCTTGAAGGACCCAAACCCAAAGAGATGATAATATTTTAAGAAGACAGAAATGGTCATTTTCCTGATTTGATGAGTACATACTGTATACATGCATCAAATTATTACACCATACCCCATGGAAAATGAAAAATTAAACAATGAACTGAAATACATTTAATTTTATAAATATTTATTTTCTTTTTTATGTTATATTTAGAGCTTTACCTATCTTTCAAGTTAGATATACCATCAATCAATTTATTTCAGGTCATAAAGGGGAATTACAAAATATTTATTTCAAAAAGGTGAAGTATGTACCATCAGTGAATAAATGAATATGGCATCTATAAACACAATGGAATGTCATTTAGCCTTTAAAAAGAAGGAAATCTTTTTATTATCTTTATATTATAACATGGGTGTGCCTTAAAGACATTATGTTAAATAAGTGACAAAAAATATAAATACTGTATGATTCCATTTATATGCAGGATTTGAAGTCACATTTATAAAAACAGAGAGCAGATGGTGATCACAGGGGTTGAGGGAAGGAATAATGGAGACTTGTTTAATGGGCAGAGAGTTCAGTTTTGTAAGATGAAAAAGTTCTGGACAAGCGTTTCACAAGAACGTGAATACACCGAACTATACTGGTTTTTGTTTGTTTTTTGAGACAGGATCTGGCCATGTAGTCAGGCTGGCCTTGAACTCACAGCACTCCTCCTGCCTCAGCCTTCCAAGTGCTGGGATTATAGATGTGTGCCACCAGGCCTGGCTGAACTATACTGTTACTGAACTACGTACTTCAATATGGTTAAGGTGGCAAATTTTAAAATGATCTTTAGAAGTCACAATGCAAAGAGCAGTGTCATGTGAGGTGGGATAGAAAACCTGCCCTTGGACGATCGATGTCTCCTCGCGGCATCCCTAGGACTTCCTGGAGCATAATGCTTATACCACTGCACAGCAGTAACTGATTTCCACATCCTTCTCTCCCACTATACTGCAGGCACTCTGAGGAAGCAGCTACTTAAAATGTTTTTATTAGTACATGTTGACAATTCCTGTGGTTTACACTCAACTTGGGCAGTGGTTACAGGTACATGTTACAGCTTTTTAAAAAAATCCCCTTCTTCCCCTGCTCCCCTGGACCCCTAGCCTTTTTTCTGTACTTGTTGATGTTATACGTCCTATCTCACATCATGGCATCTAATGTTCTACATTACTTGGGGTGACTGGGTTTCTGCACATGGCACAGCTTCATTCCTCCCATCTCCCCTTCTCCTCCTGCTCACCCCGGTTCCCCTGGACCACTTCCCCATCGCAAGAGACCTGTCCCCTTGTCCCTTGTCATCCCTCCTTCATCATTTCTTCGTTTGTACTCTGCCTCACTCAAGTGAGAGCTATCACACAGTATTTAAGCTTGTGTGTCTGTCTGGCTTATTTCACCCAACATTATATTTTCCAAGTGCAACCATTTTCCCAGAAATGTCTCAAATTTGTCACGGTATTCCTCTGTGTATAGATAGCACATTTCCTTTTTTTTTTTTTTCGGTACCAGGAATCGAACTCATGATGTTGCGCTTGCCAGGCAGGCGCTGTGCCGCTGAGCTAAATCCCCAGCCCGACAGCACATTTTCTTTATCCCATTGTCTGTCGATGGGTGTACAGGCTGGAAAGCAGCCACTTCTTAACTTTTTCGCTACAGAAACCTATCACAGGACCTGGAATACAGTAAGTGACAAGTAAGTTTGTTAAACGAATGAGCCAGACATGACATGAAGTTAGTCTCCATAATGAAAATGAGAATATGATGATCACACAAGGATAATGTGTCCTTCAAAGAAATCTCCACTAAGGGATTCAGCTGATTTTTTTGATAAAAGAATTTGCCTATTTTTGTATGCAAACCATGATGCAAAACATGTTCACTTGCCTTCATGGGAAAATCTGAGGATGAGAGATGGAAAGATAAACAGCACAAACAAAGCTGGGAGCCGTTTTGTGAGGGTGACATCACTTTGCAAGTGATCACTTTCATATGTGATTTCCATTTGCTGCTAGTCATATGGATGCTTATTTACAAGTATTTTCCCCAGACAGTATGTGTAGAGCCTGTTTTAGCTGCTGAGTTTTTATTTTTATGATTTATAATAAAAGAATTTCTTGGATCTAGAAACAAAAGCGTTACACAGAATTTATGTCTTCCTACTCCCCAGTTCCTCAGTGTCTCCCTGACCCAAGTAAGGTTTCATTGGTTATTACATACAGTGATGTTACGGGTTCTCAAATCATTACATTCTGCTCTAATCAAATATCGCTGCTTCTAAGTTTGTCTCAAAGGGCCTTACGTAGCACTTTAATAGAAAAAAACCAAAAAGGTCCAAAGCCTTTTTGATTCTTGTTGAGAAACTGTTGCACACTTAACATTCATTTAATTTTTAAAAAACACATTCAACTCCTCACACAATCTACTTGTAATTTGTTTTCCAAAATTTTCTTTCCTTAGGACACTCAAAATAGCTTAGAAATGTGTCATATTGGGGCAGGTTTCCTTGGGTACTTTTCATTAAGATTAATCCATCTGCGGTACCTGCTCTGGTTTATTTTATTCAGTTCTCATTTGTTCTCCCTCTTTTAAAAAAAATCTATTTTGGTAGTTCTTAGGCTTCAGCGATAGGGGGAAGATGCTTTAGATTACTCAAATGTCAAACTCTGAAGCAACTCACCTCCTATTACTAGGTGTCAATATATTTTCTGCTACCTTATGCTGCATGAAGAAAAGCAGAGGACACAATGATAGAGCAATGGGCAATTTCATTAATACTGTTGTACTCTGTCAGTTCTAATTATTAGAAAGAAATAATTAGAGCTGACAAAGGCAGACAGTATTAATGGAAACTGCCGCTTCCTACCGTCAGCACTGGGAAGGGGAGATGTGTGTGTCCGAAGGATGCACAGGATCCGGTTCTGCCGTTCTTACCGTAACCACTATTAACACTGCTCCCCCAGCTAGCAGGGTCATCTTTATCACTCTGTTTCTGGGCTTTCCGTTCTGTTCCATCCATTTCTCTCTCTTCCTACTTTGGAATTTATCCAGAACCTGCTAGGGTTAGTCCTTTCTCATTCTTTTTTTTTTCCAAAAATTTCCTGGCTATTCACCGGAGATGGGCTGCTATATCCCACTTCCTAAATTCCTCCTACGTTTCTGTTTAAACTAATATAAAAGCTGCTATGTACCGAAGTCTGCACTAGGGTCTTTCAAATAACAAACAGTGCTTCAAATGAGACTTACAGCCAGGCCTCAAATTACAGATGAGCTAATTTCCTTTGAGTGTTATTTGGGCGGGTCTACACAGAAACACAGCTAGAGAATACAAACCCTTCATGTCACCTGCGTCACGCTGAGGGGTTTGAAACGCAACAGCCCATGAAGAGAACTAACTGTACCTGAGCAATCGTCTCTGGGTCCAGCGGCTTGTGGTCATTGAAGCCCGTGTACTGCCCTGACGACGTGGACCTTCGGATAGGAGGGCTGTCAATCTTCTTGAGGGAGTCGTGCCGGCTGATGTTGGTGAGGCTGCCGTGGCCAGGCCGGCGCCTCCTCTCGGGGCTGTCGTTGTTGAGGCCACGGTTCTGCAGCAGGCCGCGGGGCTGACCGGCCAGGTTGGGGGAGCCCAGGTCGACCGAGGGGTTGGGAAGAGCATGCGGCGGGTGGAGGGGGCAGTGGCCATCGCTGGTCCTGCCGGGACGCCTCAGCGGAGCGGGGGGCTCTCCTCGTTTTCTTTGTCTGGACAGCCACAGACAGAGAGAGAAACAGGAGAGCTCGTCACACCGAGCCGCACGGCCAGGCGGAGGAATGGGGCTCCTTAGCGCCCTCGGAGAGGCAGAGGCCTCGGGCCTGGCCAGCGGGCCCCGCCTACCTGGCCGAGTAGCCATCAGAATGGCGCTCCGTGGGCGAGTTCATGTCCTTGGAGGAGGCCTTGTCTTCCGTGACCGGGCCGCTGCTGGCCTCACTGTCGGCTTTCTGGCTGAGAGTGTCTGAAAACGTGTCATCCCTAAAACAGTGAGAATCCAAGTGAGGATCTTTTGCTAAATGAGTGGAAGCAAAAGAAAAAAAAAAAAACGGGCCAGGGATGTAGCTCAGAGGCACAGTGCCTGCCTGGCAAGCGCGAGGTCGTGAGTTTGATTCCCAGTACCAAAAAAAAAAAAGCCTGGCATTTACATATATACGAATTTTTTTTTAATTAATGCACTTTTCATCTAAAAATCATTGTTTTGTTGTAGGTAAATCGATAACTTCAGATATACAAAAAAGAGTAAAATAATAATCATCTATAATATCTAGAGACAACTATTGTTAGAACTTTTTCCTATGCCAAAGGAATATATATATATGAATATGTGCATATGATAGTTATACTGTGGCTATCTATAGTTTAGATATATATGACTCCACGTTTATATATACACATAATATTGCTTGGATTCTGATCTATTCATTTTAATATTTCTAAAGTTATACTAAATCATTAAATACTTTCATACATTTTATATAGTACATTTCTCTTTCCCTTGAAAAGCTACTCTTAGATTGGCAACATGTTGTCAGATACAAAACTCAGAAAATAGGGATCACACAGTATACATTATTTGGTAAGCTGTTTCTTTCATTTAATTTTTTGTGGCCGTTTTCCCATTCCCTAGTATTTTTGAAATGAGAGCTTTCTGAGCATACTTAGGACAACAGCAGAAATCCTCGAGGTGACTGCTTCAGACTGTGAACCAGCACCTGCTCTCGGGAACGTCAAGAGGAGAGGGCTGCTGTTTGTGCAACCAGTAGTGTCCCTTCAGCTCTCAGAGCCGTTCTCTGCAGGTGATTTCTTTCTCTCTCTCTTTTTTTTTCGTACCGAGACTCGAACTCACGACCTTGTGCTTGCCAGGCAGGCGCTGTGCCGCTGAATATCCCCGGCATAGAAGTGATTTCTCTATGAAAGTGCCGGAAGATGTCTCCCACCGGTAGCTGCGCCAACCGGCCTGGCACATGTGGGCAGTGACTACCTGCTGGTCCTGAAGTACTATTAGCACAGAGCCCGAAGGTGAAGAATGGAGTCCGGCTCGGAAGTTTTCCCTTCTGTAATCTCTTGTGCTTTTCTCAGAAGACCCGCCTCAGCTTAAGAACCACAGGTAGGACGCCCTGCTGAGAGCACCCAGGCAGCTGAGGTGGGGAATACTCACATGTCCTGCACCACGATGTACTGGTGCGGCACAAGCCCGTCAATCCCGTTGTGTCTGCCTTCCCACCAGTCCTCAGAGGCGCGGTGGTACAGCAGCAGGGAGGCGCCCTTCTTGAAGGACAGTTCTCGGGCAGACCGCCCAACGTAGTCAAACTTGGCTATTGCTTCGATGGGCTCACATTCTATAAAGAACACACCAGAAAATGGAAAGGGACAGGGTTGACAGACAGGCGAGATACACTCTCTGAAAATGATACGGGGCTCTGGAAACAAAGAGGCCATTTTAATATCCACACTGAACAGTAATAAAAAAAACCATCGAGGAGGAGGAAACAGGCAGTGAAAAGACACACAGAAAATTATTCTCTGTCTGTCACCGGTTCTTCAGGCAAAGAAAAATTGAACATTGTATCTTAATTTCCAGTTTCTCAAAAGAGATATGACAACCATCTCATAAAAATATGTCAACTCTGCAACATAACATACACAATCGCACCTTGGTCATAATATCCTCCAGAGCTGCTCCGCTGTTTTTTGACATTGACAGAGTTTCCCTTGTAACATGTTAATGAAAAATCACTATCCCAGAAAACACTAGGATGTTTATGCTTTACTAGCTTAGTTTTCAAAAAATCAAGTAAAATTACCAAATGAATACTATTTGAACACCTTTCATTTCCTAATTTTTTGTACCATCAAATCATCACGCTAACAGCAAAAGTAATAACTTTTCTTCTGCACTAATGACAAATTTTGGATCTTAATTATGAAACAAGCATACCTTACACTGCTCTCTACTGAAATTAAAAGATCACATCAAAAATGATGTTTTGTAGCAATTAAGAGATATTCGACAAAAAAAGAAAAACAAGTGAAAGAAGTCAAGTCTCAAAGGAGCACATCCTGTATAAATGCATTTGTGCAGTACTCTTCAAAGGGCGTAATTATGGAACTGGACGACAGGTGAGTGGGGGCGGGGTGCTGGCTGGGAAGATGATGAAGGAAGCGACCGAGGGTATAAAGGGCAGTGTAAGGACGCCTGGTCACGCAACTGTCCTTTAGCCTGACTATGACTGGGTCACACAACTCTGTACATGCGATGAAACTGTAAGTCAGCAGACGCAAAGGAGCGTACGTGACACGGACACAACGTGGACATGGCGGGGACCGCATCATCCGTTTCCTGCCCGGGATACCGCACTACGGGGCACGTGGAATCTTTCCGTACTGTCGCTTATAACTGCATGCAAAACTACCACGACCTTAGTAAAAAGCTGAAAATAATAAAGACGACATTGAACTCTGGGCCTGGAACTGGGTTTCACTGCTTCAATCGTGACCAAGTAGGAAAGGCCAACACGAGGACGAAGTGATGCCCAGGGAGAGAGGCTCTTCTGATTCAGCTTCTCACGGGGAAGTCCTCTCAGCAAGCATCCTCTCCGCGCTCATCAGCACGTCTTTATCCCGCTGTCCACACAGGCGATACGCTTCTGATCCACCTTGCCAAAACTGAGCAGACTTGCTAAAAGCGGGGCATGTGCTCACTTCAAAATACTCCGGAGTATGTACAATGTAACGGACTAAAATCCATCAAAAATTCCACAGGAAATGGTTTTCTATTTCCCTTGGTAACAAATACTGCTATTTAAAAGATTTTATTTTGCCCAGACTTCACTGTAATATCTTCAATATGTTTTTTACACTTTATAATTTACACTTCAGTACTTACATTTACACTAATTTTAATTTTTTATTGGATATATGTATCTTGATCACATTCATCATAGAGCGTTTGTAGAGGTAAGTATCTTTTTTTTTTTTGGACACAGGGTCTCGCTGCCGTTTGGGCTGGCTTTGAACTCACTTTGTAGCCCAAGCTGGCCTCGAACTTGCAAGGATCCTCCTGCCTCAGCCTCCAGAGTGCTGGGATTACAGGTGTGCGCCACTGTGTCTGGCTGTGTAATACGTTTTGATTCTTCTTTCCTTCCCCCAATCCCTCTTCTCCCTTCAACACGTCTTCTGCTCCGTATTTCCAAAAGTTTTGTTTCCATTTTTCCCTTCTATTCTTTTTCCCTCTTTCTTCTTTTCCCTGTTTCCCCTCCCTTCTTGCCCTTCCCATTTGAACATTTTCTTCCCATTTCCCAATATCTTTTATACATTTTGGTGCTTATTTACACTTTTAGCTTCTCACACCAGAGAAGTAATACAGTACTTACACGTGTTCAATTTATGTCATGTAAGAGTATGGCCTCAAGGTGCATCTCTTTGGGTAGAAGTATCTTAAGTTTATCTTTCTTTATGGCTGAGTAGTACTCCACTGTATAAAAATATCACATCTTCTTTATCTGTTCATCCATTAATGGGCATTTGGGCTGATTCTAAAATTTAGCTATTAAATTTGTACAAATTAGAACTGTACAAATTCTAAAATTTAGCTATTACAAATTCACTATAAACATGGGTGTGTATATATATTCCTGTGGTACGATGCTTTTAATTCTT